TAATTGTAAATTTTAGTTACACATAATAAATAAGTACTTTAAATTAAAGGTATGTAGGATAATTTTGACTTGAAACTTGACTTGACTCGACTCATTAGGAACACTATATATTTCCTTCTACATATATCATCTAATCTAATTTTTATACTATTATTTCTAGCTATATAACTATTATTAGTGGAATCTAACTAAAAGAGAATTTGATTTCTTTGCTATCTAAACTATTTAAAACTATTTTAGCTAAATAAGAATAGAATTTAGATATGTTATACCCTTATTGAGAATGTTATTATAACAGTTTCTACTAGTGATTTTATTCTAATTAAGTAAAAATCTTCTATCTTTATCTAAAAATTGATCTAAGTAAATAAAATTATATTTACTGAGAATGTGATAGTACTTCTTGAGAATATCAAAAATAATAAGAAGATGAAATCATCCTTGATTGTATTTTTTAATTTCTGATACATACAAAAGAGATTTTAGTATTTTCATATTTAAGTAAACTAAGAGTAAACCTAATAAAACTTTTATAAAATTTGCTATTGAAAGATTTGTTCCAGTGTATTAGAAGAAATATATGTAGTGATTATTATGACTGTAGTTGAAAAAGTCTAATTTTTGATACTGTATTATATAGAAAAATAAAATAGAATTGATATAATGAAGTTGTGAATAAAGATTTTATTATTAAGTTTAGAGATCATAAAGGTACAGTCAACTCTTGATATAACAAAATTTTGATATAATGAATTTTTTGAATAAATATAATAAAAATACTCTTGTTATAACAAATTAGTCAATCAAATCTTTTAAAATCTTCACTATAACCTTATAACGAAATTGAGAATTAGACATAAAGTTTATTATAGCAAGAGTTAACTGTAATAGAAAGCATTATCTTCAATCAAACAGTTAGGAAGAATCATAGTAAAGGAAACTTTTGTTTAAAAAGTCTTCTAATAAATGCTAAGATTGAATGATAATCTTTAAAAAAGAGAGGTGTAGTCTTAAAACAATAATCTAAAAAAGAAAATAGTATTATATTAAAGAGGTAAATTAGCTATTTATCATTAAATGATTTTATTTTGAGAATAATTGTATACGTTGAGATTATTTTCTTTGTTTGTATCTATAATAAAAAATGGAAAATTGAAAATATTGATTTACACTTCAAGAAACCTAATAGAACTAAATTCAGATTTTAGATTTATTATATTTGAGCTAAATATAATTCAGATTAAAGTATGTATAGAGTTTATATGTAAATTCTGATAAAAATTATGTATTATAGTAGTATTTCAAAATTTATTATTCTATATATATTAGTTTTTAAGCTAATAAGTAATTAGATTTAGATTTAGACAATCTTAATATTATTAGTTAGAATTATCTCAATAAAATAAATCTAATAGTAGTAAAATCATATTTTTAATATTGATATTAATTAAATTATTATAAAATCGCATTTTACTATATGTTACTTAAGAGTTAAATAAGAGATGTTTAAGTTTTTAATTTGAGAATAACTAATTTTTTCACTCTAAAATATTGATAGAAATATCAGAATTTATCAGCTTAATCTTTTTAAAGATATATAACAAATAGAAGTAGATATAAAAATATCTAGTTTAACTTTTTTTTAAATATAATTTGAGTTTCTTTACTTAAAAAATTTACTTAAAATGCTCAGTATATTTATTTTAATATGCAAAGTATGTATCTAATACATCTTGAAGAATTTTTTAAATAAACTATTTATTTTTAACTTTGATTATCTAGGTTGATAATACATTTTATATTAGTAAACTTTTTAAAAGTAGATATATAAGATTCTTTAAAAGCATAATAATATATATATATTTTAATATATATCTTATTAATCTAAATAAGTTTTTAGTTAGATTTACTTTTTAACATATTCTCAATTTTTTATTTATTTTCTAATTAGAGTATGTTATATATTTATTTATATCATTTTCTAAAAAAAATAAGCCTTATTTCTTTTTATGATAAATTATCTCTTATTACCTTTTTGTATTTTAGTATACTTACATAATATTATTAATATTAATTTTATTTATTCTTTTTAATATAACTCTGTTCATATTTTTTTTTTTGAGTAGATGCTATAAGCTGAGATATACATTATTCTAAGAAAAGTATTTAAATTTAATAATTTTATATTAATAATATTATTAATAATTTTTTATATTCTAATTAAAACATTATTCTTTAAATTTTTTATAAATGTATTAAAAATATTTTTTTATAAAAAATAAAATATAATCTTTGACTTTAATTAACATTAAAATATTTAAATACTAATATACTGATTATGAAGATATAAAATTAAAACTATCATATTCACCTTATTAAAAACTTTCTATTAAGGTATGTTTGATTAAAATTGAATTATTGCATATTAAAATAATTTAGAAAATAAATGTATAATATATAAAGTAGTTTTAAATGAAAATAAAATAAATTCAATTAATGCATTAAAATATGCACTAAATAATTATATAAATAATAATTTTATACAATTTACAAAAAACTGGATTTGAATATTTTCTTCAAGGTAGTATATATAATGCAACTTTGTATTTCTTTTTTTGTTTTAACCTTTATTAAATGCATATATTAGGTTTTTTTTTTTAGAAGGAATTGTTACTTTCTATTTGCTTAATGAGAAAAGATTTTTATATAAGCCTATTGAATCACTAACACATTTTTCTCAAATTGAATTTCACATTTTTGTGCATTTTCATCTGCTTTAAGATATTTTCTTTTACTTTTAGTTAAAAATCAAATTCTTTCATTCCTATTAATAGATTATTTTATTGATAAATCTGATAATTTTTAATTAAAATAATATTATTAATAAAATATAAATAAATAACACCTTTTTTTTTATATTTGCAAAGTATTTTTTAATTACTTTTAAACTTATGTGATAGATAAAATAACTGTTTTATTATATATCTTCAAAAATTTGTAGATTAGATATATCTAATATAATAAAATTATTATTATTTGAATTTTTAAATATAAAGATATAATTAATGCTACTATATTACATTACTATTTGTAATAACTTATTTTTTTCAAAACTTATTTTTGAATTTTATATAAAGATATAATTTTTTTTTTATAATATTATATAATAAAAACAATTTAAATAATTTAATAGAAGCCAGCCCATTCTTAACATTCTAATTATGTTTTACACCTATCATTGCTTTTGTCACCTTATCAAATACAACTTTGTAAAATCTTTACATTTGAAAGTCTGAAACGGATATCAAACTCGAATTCTCGACATTAATTTTATATATTATGGGACGAGATGTTCCTGGGACTGTATATCGTCATTATTCGATGCCTTTAAAAAGAAAATAGGAGCAATAAATAATTCTGTGTTCTTGTAGAATATCACAACATTCTGCACATCAAAACAATAAATAATTCATAATCTAAATAAGTTTATTCAATAACATTCATGTCCAAAAAAGTATACAGAAATATATGCAATGCATATAAATTAATTTTTTTTTTTTTTTTAATCTAAACAATACAATAAAATTTAAAATAACGCAACGCATTCATTCAGTTATTTTTATCTTTAACAATTTTTTTACGATTTTTTTTTTTTTTTTTTATCTAATTATAATTAAACATTTTAAATTTTATATCGTGAAACGACTTGAATTAAATGCCAAGTATGAACGAAAAACAGAGGTCTCCACAAATCAATCCGCTACTTCTACGCATTAGAACTTCGATAGCATCATTACGTTCAACCTCTTACGCAACAAATTACAATTTATTACCACTTTCCACCCTTTCTCCTAGTAGTATATCACCATTGCCACCGACAACCTTTCGTCATGGAAGAGGTTCAAGAACAATATTATTCCTTCCTAACTTTGTGAGAAGGAAATGGGGATATATCAGTTTTATCTTGTTGGTTTTGTTCATAGTGATAATTCGATTACAATTTGTAAAGCGTCATATTCCATTTGAAGAAACGCCAGCTGTTACCGGGTAAATAAATAAAGATATATTATTTTATTTAATGATTATGATCGAATCTGAATTCCCAATCAACTGATATATTATATATATATATGTATATATTACTAGACATTCACAGCGACAACAAGCAAGGCCACCACCAACGACATCTTCCACATTCACAGATAATTATCCAAAACAATTAGCAATTTTAATCATACCTTCATCAACCACCTCAATAGATACATTTAGTAAAAGTATCATAGATACATGGGGTAAAATAGCCAAACAAAATAAATCATTAAGTGTAGATTTATGGTTCGTTACTTCAGAAGACACGTTAAGGAAATTTGGTTGGCCAAATATACCATACGATGATGGGAAGACTAGTAGAGGAGTTGAAGACGATGATGTAATAGAGGGGGTCAGGATGAGCGGTAATGAAAAGGAAACGGAAATCGAATTAAAAAACTTGTTGAGAGAAATGGTGCAAGAAAACATGCAGTTTGAAGAACCAACCGAATTAAACGATGAACAAGAGGAATTTCAAAAATTAACAAAGGTAAAAAATCATGAATTTTTTTGATCATTCTTGACGTAATTAATTAACTTTCGTATATTTGATAGGCACTTCATTATTTATACGAAAATCATTTAGATCATTATAATTATATGTTAAAAATTACGGACAAGTCATTCGTTAGATTACCAAAATTACTTGAATCTTTATCAACATTAAATCATACTGAGAACATTTTTTCAACCATGAAACAACCTAAATTAATAGGAAGACCAATTTTAAATCATGAGAATACAAAAACTTTTTGTTCGAAAGGATCAGGGTACATAATAAACAAACATTTATTAACGATTGTAGGTCCACATTTACCTTTTTGTTTGTCAACTGTAAATAAAAATAGACTCGAAGAGAATCATGATTTACGAGAGGATTTAGCTATAGAAAGATGTTTTATGCGATACGTTCCCATGTTTAACGGGTGTGAAACATTTTTTGATAATGATTTGGGTCAGTTGCCCGGACATGAATTCTTATATTTAAATCCTGATGATGTAATTAATTGGGAAAAGTATAAAGAACCTTTAGAGGTGTTTAATGACGAATATATGAATCGGTGGAGATTTGCTGATGCTATCGTTATTGGTGAAGTTAAAGATCCTTCAAATATGATAGCATTAGAAGAATGGTATGGTAAAGGTGGTAAATTTGATGAGATGGTTGAGGAAATGGGTGGTGTGATACCGGACCCGGAACCTATACTTACACAAGAGGTGGATCGTGTCGGGGATAATCATAAGAGTAATGACGTGAATAAAGAGGGTGTGCAAAATCAGGGACCTGAAGAACAAGTTGAAAAGGTGGATGATGTAGAAGAAATTATGACAATAATGACCGCAGCGCCAACGGAGACATTATCAAATGAAAATGTTACTTATGAAACAACATCTGAGCAATCCTCGACCACCATTAGTTAATACCACCAGAAGTATGAAAGATAAAGAACAATTTAACGATTCAAAAAAATAAAATTGATATAACAAATTCAATATTTGCATCAACATTAAAAGAATAGAAATCAACTGCATCCACTACACCAATAGAATTTTTTAGATGATGATGTAAATGAATTAAATTAGATTAATCATAGTGACGATGGTCAAGCATTCATACCTTTAAAGCGGTGAAGGATTTAGCAGAACCATAAAAATTTACAAAAAGATTTATATATATATATATATTTATAATTTTTTTTTTTAAAAAAAAAAACTGTTTATGCTAGTCTTAATCACGCGATATTTACAATAATAAATAAATAAATAAATAAGAAAAACTTTATGATCTTTAATAAAAAAAATTATTTTTTCTATATTTAACAATCAAACAATTTATTATTATTTTTTTTTTTTTTTTGCCATTTAATAAGAGATTAAATTCAACTTAAAATTGAAAATACTGAATAAAAAACACAATTACAAAATTATTTTTAATAAATTCAAAGTATATTATAAAGAAAAGTAAGAAAAAAAGAATAGTTCGTTTGTACAAAAGAGGTAAGTTAAAAAAAGAAAGGCAAAATCTGCCATGAAATGAAAAATTATCAACCAAATTTTGCTTGAATCACCAAAATTTCGAAATTTAGAAAGGAAAAAAAAATCATCTACATGTAAAAAAGGAAGATTTTGCCTGCTTTCATATATATATACTTTGAAAGATAAAATCAACGAAGATGAGAAAATGACAATAAAAAATCTCAAGGCAAGTAATAGTAGTATTAATTAAACAGCATAGCTTATGCTGTTTATACCACTATCAACATCGCTACATAATTACAACTTTACATCTATTAAGAAAAAAAAGTTTCCTAATGTATAATAAACCCGACTAAATCAAAAAATTATGCAAAAAAAAGCAAATATTTGACAAAAAGAAAGAAAAAAATAAAATAAATGAAAGAAATTATTTGAGTATTTACTATTTATAAAATTATTAAAACCTATGTTTTAAAAATTTTTTAATCATAGTCCTGCTAGGTATATACCTATTAAACATCATCATGATACCGCCATACTCTTGCTCGACAATCGCCAGAGCCAGTGGCAAAAAGTTTACCAGTTTGACTTAGAGCCACCGAAATTACTTTTTAAAATAAGAAAGTGTATTAGTAAGTGAAAAAAAACCTTTTCCCGGGTTTAACACATTATTCGTTAACCAACCTGAGTTTTTGTGTCCTTGTAACATGAATTGTGTTTGTGCCGTTTGAGGATCCCAGAACTGTACTCCTCGATCTTTTGATCCAGATACTACCCAACGACCATCGGGTGAAACCGCTACCGACAGCACGAAATCCTATTTTACATAATGATGATCAATTAAATCCTTCCAAGGAAATTATAAACAAATGAGATAGATACCTTGTGTCCAGTAAACGTTGTCTTTGATTGATTCTTTTGACCAGATCCGTTATTATTCCTTCCGGGATGACTCATGTCCCATAATTTTAGAGTCTTATCTAAACTACCAGATACCAATGTCTTACCATCAGGAGCAAATGCAACAGAATAAACACTATCCTTATGACCTTCCAATCTTTCAAGAAGAAATCCCGTTCGTGCATCCCACACTCGCACTATTTTATCCAATGAACCTGCGGCAACATAAAGAGCATCGGGGCTTATGGCGACACTGGTAACACCAGCATCCTTTTGACTGGGTTCATCGATTGGAAGTTTGTACAACAATTCTCCGGATACCATGTCCCAGACGCGAGCTGTCTTATCACCTGACCCGGAAACAATGAAACGACCATCGCGTGAAAAGTCAAGTGAATATATGTCTTGTTCGTGACCAGTGAAGAATTTACGGATGGTTTGAGTATGAATGTCCCAGATCTATCAAAAATAAATAAGTAATTATTTGAATTCTTTGATTATATAAAATCGATCCAAAACGATACTAACTCTGATTTGTTTATCCTCGGCACCAGTCGCCAAATATTTCCCATCGGGACTAAAGCATACACTGCGGATATATAAGTCGCCGGATTTATCAACATTGGTATCATCCAAAACGCTAAATAGTAAATAAAAAAAAAAAAAAAAAAAGTAACCGATTAATTAATTAGTAATCGAAGCATTAAAGATTTTGATTCACGTGATCAAGTGAAGGAGCTGATGACTTAATATATTTGCGTTTGTGGTGACTGCCGTTAAAAGGTCCTAAATGTTAAAATACTTGAACAAGTAAGGGGTCATGGTAACTTACCAGATTTTTTGTCCGGAACTAACATCATAAATTTGAGCGATTCTATTGCAGCCAGTAGCAAGGTATTTTCCGTCGGCGCTGAATTTTACACAACATACAACGCTAAAAAATAGACAGAATCGAACTTTGTTAAATACAGAACTTTGTTGGAGGATAATTATTTTTGATGAGATTTACCTAGAATGGTCCAATGTGTGGATTAATTCGACATCGAGAACGCGCGGGACTTTAGGGTTGAAACTAGATAAGTTGATAAAAGCGCAATCATATTTAAAACGACAATTCAGAAAATCACGTGACAAATAGAGTACCAAATAAAAAAACATACATGGCAAACCAATCGCCACCCTCCCTCTTCAATTGAGCGGGAACAGTTTCGGGATCCATATCGCCTAATCCAGGTTGAGCGCCACTAAGTGAACCTTGTTTAGTAGGTGGACGATTACCGGGCGGTAATGGGCCCATATTAGGATTATTTTTACGTTTATTAGATTGAGGACCAGAAGGTGGAGCATTACCATTAGGAGGAACTCCGGAACTTTGAGGACCTTCAGGTCCAAGATTCTGGGGCATCTGTATTAACTATATATGTCATAAATTTGCATATAGTAAAAAAATAATAATATATATATATAATTTAATTCGAAATAATAAAATCTTTGTCTTTTATTATTTACCTTTGGCATTTTATTAACGGGTTTACTGCTTTGACCGACGTTTGTAATGTAACCCCCTTGATTTAATGATTGCTGACTTGTTGGACCGGGTGGAATTCCATTACTACCATACAAACCCGAAGGGGCTTGTTGAGAATTAGGTGGGAGTCCCATAGGTCCCTGAGGGCCACTTGGGGGACCACTCTCTTCCATACGTTGTCGTTTGTTGGCATGTTGCTGTGACAAAGGTGGTGGTGGACCACCACCATTCAAATATGGAGAAGGTGCGGAACTACCACCAGATTGAGAAACGCTTTGTGGAGGGCCACCTGGACCAGGATAAGCACCAGGGTGACCTTGACCGCCTGGCGGAGGTTGCTGAGAAGGATCTATAGACATTTGAGGTGGGGCTACAAGAACTTGTTGACCACCACCACCACCGCTCATGATTGCACCAAATATATTACTTTGTCCTTGACCAATGGTTGGGGGAGGAGGTTGAGGGTGTGATGGTGGTTGGGAATGAGAACTAGATGAAGGATGAGAATGTAATCTTTGTTGTTCCATCTCACGCTGAAGAGCGCGTATGTCACTATCGTATCTACCACCACATTCGGGGCGATTTCAAGTAATTAGAATCATGCGGTAGAAATCGATTGAAAAATCAATTCATTAGCATAGACGTTTAAAAATTAGAAATTAACCGACACCAATAATATCAAAATGGTTATACTTACTGTGCTTTTATGTTCTTTTGTGTATTTTGTAAATCGTATAATCCTTGACGAATAAGATTAACTTCATCAGTCTGTTGTTGAACTAAAAAAAACCATGAATTTTTAATTTTTGATAATATTATTAGTAGAAAAAATTTTTTTTGATTTTTTTTGATTTTTTTTTTTTTTTTTTATAAATAAAGACGCGTCTTTTGAATTCCAAAAATTATACACAACACCTCTCTCAACTTATGGCACATGATATAAGCAAGCACATCCATAAAAAGGAAAAAGATGTTGATGTAATGTCTGATTAACATCTGAACTCTACCTTTATGTTCAAGGTCATCTCGCTGCATTTTATACATAGCTGCTTCTTGTTGAAGGGTGTCAAATTCTTGTTTTAGGGCTTCCAAGAGTTCATTAACTCGACTCGTTCCACCTGCACCACCGGGAACAATTTGCCTATGATTGTAAATATTCGACATGTTCTGATTCTATTTTTAATATTTTTTTTTTTTTATTTATTTATTTTTAATTTTGTTTTTCCTTTTTTTTTAAAAAAAAACAAATGTTTCCGAGTAAAAAAGAAATCTTGACTTTCTTTTGACTCGTTTCTTTTATGCCCAGTCGGTTGACGTAGATTAGTTACCCTGTTTTAGTGGTACAGATTAACAGAAATTAAAAAGGATAAAAATTTCAACAAGTCAATAAAACACATTCAAAACAGATACAGGGTTTATTTATTTATATATATGTATAACTCTTTTTATTTCTTTTCTTTTTTTTTTTTTTTAATGCCAAAATAGTTTGTTTGTTCAATAAAAACGCTCGGACGTTGTTTTAATAGTTTTTGGTAATTTTTTTTTTTTTTAAGGAAATAACGTAAAGAGCAAAGATTGATGTTAAAACAAAAGTTTAATGCACGATAGTACTTACCCAATAGTGTTAGTTACAAAACTTCACGAACTTAAAAGACAAACAAAAAGTTTGTTAATGAAGAGAGAATAGAAATTATTAGGATCAAACATCAACGAGTAATTCGAAAAAGGTTTGTTTTTTTTTAAAAAAAAGCAAAGCGAGGGAGGGCAAAAGAAAGTTTGGGGGTGGAAAAGTAGAAATAAGCAAAGTGGTGGACTAAAAATGAAAAAAAAATTGATCAAACTAGGGAACTCTGTGAACTCTAATGGCACAAAACGAAATCTGTTTACGTCATATAAATCAACCAAACCGCAAAAGGAAAAGATTTGTAACACAATATAAAATAACGTAATAAATAAATTTTACGAGATTAGACTTTTAGTTATTTCAAAAATGAGTACAGCAGGTAGATTGCATGTTTCCGAGTGGAACCTGAGTCAATGAAATCTTTTTTTTTACATTATTTAATTGACGAATAAAAAAAAAATTTTGATCATTTTATTACAACTTGTTGATCTACATTGGATTTTTTAATCTGGAGAGTTTAGACTGCATTGTTTGATATTATTATTATTATTTAGGTACAATAAAAATTGTTGATATCGATAAGACTCTTTATGATTCAACGTGTAACCAAAAGGGATGTGCGATGGTGATACTTTATTATTTTATCTTATTTACTCCCAAAATGTTTTTTTCATGGTTAGGCTGAAATCATGAATTAAATTTTTTTTTTTTTTTTTTGGAATATGCAAGTGTCCGAATATTTAGAGCGAAATCTTTTGTAATACAACAAAAAAAAATTTGAGGTTCATCGGTTGGTCCCCGACAATCCGACTTCCTAAAACATATTGATAGCCCGAACAGAATGTTCAGTCTACCACATTGATGAAGTTTCATCCCTTATTTCTAATTAAATACTTTTTTTGTCATGTTTAAATGTTAACAAATAAACAATCCTTCGCATTTGTAATTTCAATAATCTCTATTTTATTTTATTTTATTTTATTTTATTTTATTTATTTATTTTTTTTTTAAGACATAAACCCTGATATACAATCACCATTATTACATAATATAATCGGAGAATGGAAAGAGGGTGATGAAATGATGTGTGAATGATAATATTGATGAAACCTCCCAATTGTTCAAAACTTGAATATTCTTTCTCTCACACATCTATTATTATGAATCTATAATTTGATAGTATCAAAGTTTAGTACGCTCGATATGGTTTGAATGTGCCACATGGCAGTGGGCACGTGATATCACAGAAGGAAAAGAAAAAAAGAATTTCTGTGCCATCAAAATTATCATCATTTTTATAGTCTTGAAGTTTGTATTACGAATCATGTCCATCCAAAATTTTTAATTCAAATTATGGTAAAGGAGTGACAAATGATTTATAAGAAATGTTTACAAAGGAAATGTGATCGATTTGGATGGGATTGTTCTCCTTTGACCTATTATTAATTATTATCATTATTATTATTATTTATTTTATGTTTGTGTATCAAGAACATCGTGTGTGATGTCAAAAAAAGGATTCATGCTTTTAGATTTCAAAATGGAGTGATAAGAACAATAAGTAATATTTCATACATAATGTTTATTATGTACTGAAGTGTGTATGGAAACAAACAAGAATGTGAGACAATTACTTGAAAGAAGAAATCAAAGGATGGGGTAGATGCTCAAAGAACGTGATCCGCGAGTGGTGGAGGAGAATTTTAATTTATTTATGAGGAGATGCAACCCTATGCCAGATTAGGGTAAGCTTGGAAAAAAAAATTATAATTCTGAAAATAGGTTATTTTTGTTCATCAATCCCATAAAAACCTGTCATTCTGTCTTGTTTATCATTCACGCCATTCTTCCTACTTTTTAGTAATCTAGACAATAAATGTAAAGGATGGGCTGAAGATGCTTAATCTAATTAATTTTAAAAAAAAAAAAAAAAAAAAAAAAAAAAAAAAAAATACAGGAAAAAAAAAAAAAATTAGTTTCCACATCTTTCTTAGTACAACCTTACAATACCACGATCACGCAAAATGTCATTCTTGTGTCATCACATGATCCTTGTGAACGTTCCCCACAACTTCCCGCTATTTTCATTCTAATCAGCATTTAGCAGGTAAACCTGTTACATTGCTTGTTTATTAAAATTTTGGTTTGGATTGTATAAAAGAAGATTTGCTAGTCTATTTAAGGAATGACTTACCCTAGAAGCACACATTGTGTACAAAGGAACGAACGGATTATGATTTTCATAAGTTTATCTAAACAGTTAACAAGATTGGTGTGTCCTTTTTTTTTTTTTTGTTTTCTCCTTTCCCTTCTCTATTTTAATCCAGAATATAAATAAGGTACAATTAGTATACATGGTTCATTATTCGGTCATCAAAAAAAGACCAAGAAAATTTGATTTTTTTTTTTTTCCTCAGAAAAATCACTTCCAGATAAAGAAATACAAGCAAAGCCTCAAACTCGAGTATTTCTCCAAGCTGATAGATTTACAACCAAAGTGGACATCGCACGTTTTTTTCAGTTCGGTCTAATTCCTTTTAGCCATTTATCCTTTTTTATTATAAGCTGCTAACCTTGTATAGAACATTTGTTAAATGTTTAAGCCTTGACAAAATAATCAAGAGATAAAATCTTTTTTAAAAGTGTTACAAAATAAGAATGTTGGTTCAAAGATACAATTTTAAATTCATGCTAATCATCACAGGAAAAAAAGACTTTCATTAATTTAAAAAAAAAAAAAAAAATAATATAAATAAATAAATAAATAAAATAAAAAAAGTAAAATTCAATTAATATGAGAGATTAATTTTTTTTTTTGACTCTGGAATGTTTGACTCGGTTCCTTTTTTTTTTTTTTATTTTTTTAATTTCATGTTATGATACAGAATGTCCTAAAATTAAAAATTATTATTTTCTCAGTGCTATAAATATCAAAAAAAAAAAAACTTTTTTTTTTTTTTGTTTGTTTTAAAATTCTTGGTATAATTGGTTGGTGGGAATAAAATTTATACTATTTTAAAAGGTTGACACAGAAATTAAATATTCACATGTAACCAAAACAAATATTTCTTGCAATGTCAAAAGGTCAAAATAAAAAATAAAAAATAAACTAGTGAGTAATTTATACTAAATTAATTTCCAATTTATTATTTTATTTTATTTTATTTTTTTTTAAAAAAAAAATACTCTTTTGTTTCATTCTGATTATGTTGATTGTCATAGGTTCGAGGATGACAGCTTTATCGATTCTAAACCTTTTGATGATTCTTCTAATGTATTTCTGCGAATCCTTGGTGCATCCTTCAAATGTCATGCGGCGCAGTATCGAAGAGATCGGACACGTTTCCATTACTTCTGTCGACTGTGCTTTTCGTGTCACATTTCTCATCCATTCCAAACGGAAAATCAAATAGATTATCATCAAAGCGGTTAAATTCATCGCTCGATGATTCAGATAAGAAAGATTCAAAATTAGATTGTGAGAAAGGATGAAGGAATTCCGCGTTACGCTTGGATTCGTCCAATGGTTGTTCGATCACAATCTCTGCCATTTTCCCGCGCTTCAGACGTTTTTGTTGTTGTAACAATTCCTCGTTTTTATTGTTATGAATGGTTATGTCACCTTTTGGATTTCCCTTTTGCTTTTCGGATTGTCTATTTTTGATGTCATTTTGTTTCATAAATATGATCGTTAATTCTTTTGATAACTCATCGTACAAGTATCCTATTTCGGCTCGATCTCCCTGAACGTAATGAAATCCTTGCCCCTTGAGATTTTCAATACAAATTGTAATTAACTTTGAAATTAAAATTGCCCCATAAAATAAATCTTGTTCAGGATCCTGTGTGGCTTTATTTATCAAATGTTTCACATGATCTCTCATATCTTGTAAACGTGCCGGTGCGATCACTTGAGAACGAGACAGGATGATTTTATTAAAGTTCATTTTTATTTTTCATATTTTTATACATCGGGGGGGGGGGGGAGGAAAAAAAAAAAATCTCTCAATTATTCAAAATAAGTGAAGCTATTTATAAATGAAAACGATTCGTTTTTTTTTTTTTTTTAAAAAAAAAAGTTTAATCTGATGTGTCATACATGACTAACGTGATTTTTTTTTTCCTTTTTCATATTACTGATTTAATAAGGATTGTTTGTTATGATGATAAATTATTTACCGTAAATAAAATTTATATGTTGATTTCACATAAATTGAGATCCAAGCCAAATTATTGATATTTAATGCTGATAAAATTAATATCGATATTATTAAGTTAATGTACGAGAAGGTCATTATCGGATATACGATCTTCTTTCTTATTGGTTTCAACAGGCATAACTTGTTGTAACCACTCTTTGATCGATTCCTTGCCAGCTTTAACCGCTTCCGACATATTTCTTTTGAGGTGAGTTGATACTCTGGTAACGTGACGATCCATAGTATCGAGTTGTTGGTTAATTGCCTTACCTGCATCTCGCATAAACTCATCATAAACCATGCTTAAAAGTGCCAAACGTTTAAATTTATATTTGGCCATTATTCGCTTCTCTAGAATGTCATTCGGATAGGTCACTTTTGCATCGTCAATATAAATCCCTTCATTGATTAATCGTTCGATAAGCGCTTTGAAATGATGTTGCGCTGGCTTGTAATGTCCACTGTTTGGGTTAATTTCAAGAAGTTTACCTTCTCGGACTTTAATCCCTCCAGCAGCGCAAATAGCACCTCCAGCAAGAAACGAAGAATGATGAAAATGACCCTTGATCTTTTGTCCTACATAGAAATTCCCATCACAATCCGTGACATAAATCCATTTCTCATGTTTCATCCCAGTACTTCCAGTACTTCCTTGTCGTGTATGTGGAGTAATCTGTTCTTCAGGATCTTCTATTTCAAGGTTCAAGCTTCCCTGAGAGCTAGGTGCAGGAGACGGTGTACGAGTTGGATTGGGTATAGACAATGATCGTGTACCAACTGCTATATTTGGATTAGCTGAATCAGGGTCACTTGGCAATTGGTCCGTTGGATTAGTGTGCACCGGTTTTCCGCTTTTTTCGTAGATGAGCATCCCATCCCTAAATGTCACTTCAAATTCTCTACGTTCCTTTCTTGTGAGATATCTTACTTTTTGATGATCCAATAATTCACGTGGTCTAGCTTCCAAATTCAGGTGTTTGCCTTCACCTTTATCTAACCATTCAAAAAAATTTTCTGGAGTTGACGTTTTGAGCCAATAGTCATGATAAACCTGAAAAACGACAATTATAAAGTTAATGATTTTTTTTTTTTTTTTTTAAATAAAGAAAAATTTAAAAACGAAAAATATGCGAACCTTTAGATTTGATCCATATCGATGCTCTTCATCACATATTTCTAACCAATGTTCTGTGTCCAGAATGAGCCAAAGATGATTCTTGACAGAACTAGACCCCTATGAAAATTTCACGAGAATCAAATAATAAAAGAAAGATCATAGATAGTGAATAATCTTCACAATCAAAAATAAATATATATATATATATAACCATATTGTTGATCAGCGCTAAATAATAATAAAAAAAAAAGATTTGGTCAAGTACTTTTGCAATGCGTTCTACCACGGTCATGGCGAGTTCGAATTTTTGGTTGGAACTAGGGGGTTCCTGAAGTATTTCTTTACGACGTAAATGTGCTTCTACGGCGTTGAGTAGTTCCTCCCATTGGGACCACACAGGACAAGTCTGGCCAGGTAAATGAAGGCACGACGTACCGCTTTTGAGAATATTGTCTCTCGAGTTGGCAGACAAGATCTTACCTTCTTCCTCTCGTGTTTTACTAAATTATCAAAACATATACGATATTTGTGAACTAGTTTTGGCTTTTGAAATCGTCAATTTGCACATTAATACTTGAACAACCTGAAATGGTTATAATTACCGGTGATTCCGCCAGGCATTAGCTATTTTTGTTGCTGAAAATTCTTCACTTTCTTTGTATGCTATTTGTTGTTGTTGAGAAGTAGTTTCCATTTCGGCTGGAACATCAAGGTTAGGTCTGTTTTCGGGTGGTAGAATCGACTCCATGATTTATTTTGAATTTTCGTTAATCGTGAAGATAAATAAAAACAAACGCCCTAATGAAACAAATACATTCATTGATAAGCTTAAAATTCTGCTTGCATTAATGCAATGCAAATAAGATTTTATTGATTTGATTGGTTAATCCGGTATCCCGTGAGTATACAATATATACAATCAAACCTCTACCGGAAATGAAGAAGCATGCATGAAAGAAAAATATTTTTAATATTTCTAAAATGTATGGAGCAATGAACCAGAAAACTTTATTACACGTGTCAAACGATTAACGTCATCATTAGATGACGTCTCCTAAAATTTATGGACGACAATATGATTTGATTGGTTGGACACATTCTATGAAACCGAATAACTTTTTTTAGATTCTTCTCGTTAGTTAGTTTGTATTTTTTTCATTCGAGATCAGGAGGCTTGCCGGTGGTCCAACTTATATCGTTGTACTTGTAGAATATTGCAAATCGACTAAAGTTTCAAAAATGAGCGGACTTACCGCTTCACTAAACACCGAACTCTTGCAGCTTTCAAATGAAGCTCGTAGGAAACACCCAGAAATCAAGGAGGTAATTTTACCACACTCCGACCTTTATGGTTTTATCATTATCTGCTGAATTTACTGCGGATCATTGGTGCTATTTGGAATAATTGTTTAATATTTTCGTTATTCATGAATGTAGGCAGCAGAGAGATCCCTTATAATTTTAAGAAGACTACTCAAAGAGCTACCCGAGACGGATAATATATCACAAGGTTTATTAGAATTTCTCTGTCGATTTCGTGATATGTAATACATTAATATTAATATACTTTTTTTGTTCTTGTTCGGTTATAAAAGAACTTGCAAAAAACAATGATTTTCTGCGTCCGTTTATCCTCGCATGTGAGACTAAACACGTCAAATTAATCACAACCTCTATAGGTTGCTTACAAAGACTGATATCGCACCATGCGATTCCAGATGTAAGTTCGTGTTATATCAGCATTTTATTCATACAATACCTTAGTGTTAAAGTGTTACATTTATTAGTCTTCCGTGAAAACCATTCTTAAAACCTTAAACGACATTATGTCACAAGGTGTGGAAATTCAACTTAAAATTCTTCAAACCGTACCGCCGTTATTAAGTAATTACCAGGCTTTACATGGGGATTTGTTGGCAGAGGTAATAATCAATGTAAAAATAAAAAAATATATATATATTATGAATTTATATTTATAAAATAATAATACATTATTTTTACAATTGTAGGCGTTGTTGATTTGTTTCCGGCTTCATGATTCAAAGATTGTAGTGGTAAATAATACAGCTGCCGCAACTTTACGTCAGTTAGTAATTAATATATTTGAAAAGGTTCAAGAGGAGGATGACATCAATAATAAAGATGGTATTTTTATTAAAGAAATTTTAAATATAAATTGATTACATTCATTCTTATTAAAATAGATTTTTTCTTGTAAGGTTCAATAAAACCTACATCTACTGCAGTATCAATTCATGGGGAAGGCGTAATTGCGCTCCGTCCTTGTGCAAGGGACGCATATTATCTTTTTCAAGATATGTGTTTATTAACTAATGGTGAAAATCCCGTGTATCTTAGGTTACATGTTTTATCAAGAACATTCGGATTAGAATTAATTGAATCAGTATTAACAAATCATTCTAGATTATTTAAACCGGTTCGTGTGATTGTTTAGTATTTATGGCATTAATTAAATTTCGGTCGAATTGTTGTTTTATTTATTTATTTATTTTATGATTTTACTTTACAGCACCCAGAGTTTTGTTCTTTGTTGCGAGAACGAGTGTGTCCATTAATTATTAAAAATTTCTCAGATAAATTTGACTTCCCTACTACCATGAGATTAATGAGATTGGTTTACATTATATTGAAACAGTTCAATGAAATTCTGGTAAACAATTTTTTAATTATTCATATCTTAGGTCTACTTTTTCCTGATGTTTTTGGAGAGAGAGAGTAATTGAATTTTATTGTTGAATTATGCTTTTAAGAGTTATCGTTACTCTTTTATTATATTCCGGTGAAAACCCGCGAAAATAGGTGATGGAATGCGAAATTTTCTTGAATATGTTTATCAAAATTCTCGAGCCCGATAATCCATTGTGGCAACGTGTTATATCCATGGAAATATTTCGTGGTATATGCGTTGATCAAGCACTTTTACGTTCTATTTATCGTTCGTATGATAAACAAGGTCATTCAACGAATGTATTTCGTGAAATGATTAACGCCTTTGGAAAGTTAGCAGCCGAAAAACCACAATTATTGGGTGTCGGAAGCCATTCGTTAGCTGGACATTTACATCAAGGGAGAGAAAGCCTAGAAATGGCTGGTGTGATGGGAGGTGCTGGACAAGTTGACATACCTGGATTAACCATCTCAACTTCAATAATGAAGGTTCAATGGTATGCATACTTACTTTATCGTATCAATATTTTTTTTTTTGAGAATAAAAATTTGGGTATAAAAGTAATATCATTTTTAAAAATTTTTAAATTCGTTCTTTTTAAAAGCTTCGATCAATTAGATAAAGTTGATCCACCACCAATTCCGGATACATACCTATATTATCTTGCTCTCTTTTGTCTTAATTCAGTAGCTGATGGCTTACACAGTTTTGTTTTGAATATTTTGTCGGAAGTCATTCATAAACAAAAGGTTGAAAATCTCAACTCTCCTCCTCAATCCCCTACACATGTACAATCCGCAATTCTCGGTACCACCACGTTGCAGCAATTGGAATCGCACCCACATTATAAAGACATTCTGCTTGTTACCGATATGGCCAATACTGCCTGGCCAGGATTGCTTGCTGCGCAATCCTTTTTCCTCACAGCTAACCTTGATGAGGAATTGTTCCAAGGAGTTTTACGAGCTTATCAGAACTTTACGATTGTATGTGGCGTACTTCAATTGACCACTCCCCGTGATGCTTTTTTGACAAGCTTATGTAAAGGAGCTGTTCCGCCCAGCGTAATTGCTGCATCTTTGGCAGAAAGTAAAGCAGCTCATAGTGGTAGTTCAAGTACTACAGGAGGCGAAGGCATGCAAGTCGTTACATTGTCAGATGGGAATTTATCTTGTTTGAAAATATTATTGAATATAGCACAATACCTTGGAGGAGTTTTGGGTGATTCTTGGTATCTAATTTTGGAAACTCTTCAATTAGCGGATTTCATACTTTTTCTTAAACATGCTAGAGGTTCGAGAAATCCACGTAGAATAGGTTCGCAACATGCTGCATCTAATTCTGTAACTTCATTGCCTACCTCACAAACTGCCGGAAGTTCATCATCAATTCAACAAATATCTTCCAATCCACCAAGCCTAAAAAGAACTTATTCATCTAATACAACAAATCATCAAGCGAGTTTACCCGGGTCTACATCACCTCAACAATCAGCGATTGATAATGATTTAAACATTTTGTTAATACAGATTAGAAAATTGTTTGATAATTGTAAATATCTTGACGATAATGCTTTACAGGCTTTTACTATAGCATTGTGCAAGTTAAACGCTTATACCATTGGTATTCCATTGGACAGTGAAAATTTAGTAGCGGGGCATGATCATTTATCAATGGAGGGTAAGGTAACCAAATCAACGCCGCTAAATGCTATGAGAGTAAATGTAAGATAACACTTTTTTTTTTTCCTCCTCTCGATCTCTGTGAATAATCATGTTCCAATGGTTTACCTGTCTCTTTCTTTCGTATGTAGAGATCAGATGAAAAGTCCTTTGCTATCAACAAACTTCAATTAGTTGCATTAATTAACATGCCTAGGTTGATAGCACGTGAACCTTCTCTATTATGGGATCTGATAATATCTCATCTTATTAAAACTGCGAATTACGTATCTACTCCACAACCAATTCGCATGCAGGCTTGTGAGACAATAGCAGACATTGTTACTCAAGCAATGGGCTATGCAAGTTCTGATCATATGGAAATTGATGAACGGGTACAAATGCAATTGCTCACTTCTTTGAGTCAATTAGTAAATAATTCCGAAAAAAGTACTCAAGAAATAGGTAAAGGATTTCATGTTGAAGTCCGAAAAATGGGACTTGAGACGTTAAATAAATTATTACAAACATCGGGCCATTCATTTACATATGGTTGGAGCATGATATTTGATATGATAAGAAGCGTATGTGTTATATCGTTTCCTAATGAATCTGGTGAAGATGAAGTGGATGTATCGAGTGTTGATAGTTCAAACGTTATTGACACGCCATCTTTTGGCGTTTCAAACACAAAAACTTCTGGTTTAGTTCGTGTAGCATTTCCTTGTTTGCAGCTTATCTGTTCAGACTTCTTGTCATTATTATCGCCCGAGTGTTTGAAACAATGTATAAATACGTTGGGCGCATTTGGTTTACAAATGGATGATCTGAATATTAGTTTGACTGCGATTGGTTTACTATGGAACGTCTCAGATTTTATACAAACAGAATTAGAAAAGAATTTTAAAACTTTTGTTGAAGAAGGGCCAGAAAATATTAAAGAAGATATTACTGTGGAACAAGAAATCGATCAAATTATTCAAAGTGATTTGAAACCTCAAGCAATGAACGCTCTATGGATGCTGTTATTATTACAACTTTCAAAGATTTGCTCAGATACTAGGCCTGAAGTGAGAAATGGAGCAAATCAAACTTTATTCCGTACAATTGATATGAATGGCGCTGTATTGAAAACCCAAACTTGGCACACTTGCATTTGGAAGGTTCTATTTCCTTTATTAGATTCTGTGAAATTTGCTTCAGAAAGGGCAGTTAAAGCAATGCAACAACAGCAACTCAATTCAAGTGCCGAAAAACTTTCTTCCCCACAGAAAGAAATCAATGTCTTCATGATACATCACTCTAGAAATACTATTGATAAACAGTGGGATGAAACAAAAGTTTTAGTGTTAACTGGAATTTCGGACATATTCAAAAATTTTGTACATTTGCTGATTA